CCTTCCCCCCCCCCCGGGGGTTCCCCCGCCGTCACGCGTGGCGGTGGGGCTCCGGGGGGCCGCACCCGCTCCCGCAGCCCGGGACAGGCCTGGCGCTCCCCCGGCGGGGGGACCCCATCCCCACCCGGGATGTCCCCTCGGTAGCACCACCACCCCGAGGGACACGGACCATCACCCCCCCGCCCCGGGCTGGGATCCGACGACACGGGGCTGCTCCCCCACGGCTCTGGGAGGGGACAGTCCCCCCCAAAACCAACGCGTCGGCCTTTTCCCCAGCAAGGGAGCACCCTGACTGCAAATCAGGGTGCAGAGCCCCGACAGCACATCCCACCCCAGCAGAGGGAGAGGTACCGGCACCGGCCAGGAGACAAAGCGCCACCAGCTCCACAGCCCCGAGCACCGGGGCCCAGCACCCTCCTGGAACTGTGCAGCCCCCCGCCATGCTGGGCCTGCAGGTAACTGGGCTTTACTGGGGCAGCTGGGAAGGGAACACGGGGTCACAGAGGTGGGGAGATGGCCCAGACCCCTCCACTGTGGGCCAGGACCCCATAGGATGGATGGGTGGAGGACAGAGAGCGAACACAGATGCTCTGCCTCTTCCAGTGTCACCTCAAGCTCTGTCCTCACCAACAAAGCTGGGAGTCCCTGGGTGCCACCACTGGGTCCAGTGCAATGGAGCATCCCACCGCCTCTGCCACGCTGGGGGACGCTCGGCGGGTAGGCAGGGGCGTGAGGCTGGGGGCAGAGGGCAGGAGGGGCCTCCCTGCAAGACAAAGTGGGGCTGGGGGCACCCCAGGACACCCCCCACCCCAGTTTAGGACCTGTCGCAATGGGGTGTTACTGGACCTGCAGGCAGCCGGGGGGATGCACGGCTCTGGTCGGCTCCCGGGTCTCCCGCCGCTGCCCTCCGGGTTCCGCCGGCCGCTCCCGTGTCCCTGCGGTGGGATGCGGCGAGGCTCCCCGGCAGCCCCAGCCCCTCCCTGGGGCTCACCTCGCCCTGACATTTCCTGGCGCTCCTTCCATGCCAGCGGGTTGCCATAGCAAATCTAAATCTTACAAACAAAACGAGGAGAAAAGCCTTATTAGCATATATTCAAATGAGCCATGCAATAATGCAAACCATAAATCATGCAGTCATTGCTATTCAATCAGTGTCTCTTACCCCAGCCCCCACACTTTCCCCGGGTGTCTCGCCTCCTCCTCGCACGCAGAAGCCCCTTCCCAGCCCCAAGGGCGGCCCGGGAGGGGACCCACCAGCCGGGGGGACCTGGGCCCAGCCCAGGGCTGGCGGGGCTGCCTCCAGCCCCTAATCCCGGCTGGTATTTGTGTCGCTTGCTGGGCTCTATTAAACGGGGCAAACTCTTCCCAGGATTAATCTCCTGCCCGTGTTTTAATCCCGGGGCTCAGCCGCCAGTAATCCCCCCCGCTGCGGGAAGGGGACGAGTGCAGCACTGGTGAGCGGCCGGGGTGCAGGGACTCCCATCCCCACCCGATCCCAGCCTGTGGGTGCCCAGGCAGTGCCTATTCCCCCCCCTCAACCCCAGAAGACGACGGGCACTGCCGAGCGCTGGCCCCCGCTCCTGGCTCGCCTCTCGGGGCCATGGCCACGGCCAGCACACCGCAGGCCCCGGGGGATGCTCCCCCACCCTAGGGAGCAGCAGAAGC